TAAATAGGCAGTCCGTTCCCTGCCCCTTTATGGCGTGCTGTGAGACCAGGCCGTTGAGGGTGGAAGACATGAAAAGATTAGCTGTCTTTGATCATAGGTTCCTACGTTCTATCTCCCGTTTGTGTCAGGTGGTATAATAACGTGACCAATATTGAGGTTAGGCGTGAGTCGAGTGCTAGGTAAGGAGGGGAAATCAATCATCGACTGAGATGGTTAGGACATGTGTTACGTATGCCTGCCTAGTCATCGCCTTCCTCGACCGAAGGTCAATGTTAGCTGACATAGGATTGGTCAGGCTGGAAAAGAGCTAGCCAGTGGTGGTCAAACCAAAACATGGCTTCATCAGTCAATGAAATCTACAACAGTTAATTTAAGCCAGCCACGTAGAAAGGTGTGGACCTCCTAACTGGTTGAGGTCCTCAGGACGGTAAAAACAAATGAAAGCTGGAAACAATTGGTGATATGGCTCCAAATCGTTCTCGGTGATGGCTGGCGCAGATGCATCCACTCCTTGTAACTTATGATTTCCAATGAAACTGTATTGTTCTTCGTTATTACTATTCCTTTGTCTTACACCTCTGTTTACTGTCCCTATTATGCATTTCTTCTACTTTCTTCTCTTGCTTTGTGTGTTCCAAGGAGGGAGTGTGGCGACTTGAACTGGTGCACATCGATGCAAAGTTCTATGTCGAAAACAGATAGACAAACCTACGTGTTTCCTTTGATATAAGAATAAAACTTGTGCACTGTGGTAGAGTGTAATTACATTATGGGTAAATTTTGTTTTTGATAAAGTCTCACAGTGTTATACAGTAGTGTTTACTGATGACGTTTCGAGCACAATTTATTACTGCTCATAATCATATCAAGGTACTACCCACACAATTTCCTAACTTCATTTATATAGTTCCATTATTAGTCACTTGATTAGATTGGTAGTAGTATTTTCCATATTTCGGGTACGAATGATGAGTCATGGCATCCTATTGCACGTGTTGGATGTAGACTCGATGGACAAAGATTCAGTCAGTAATCAACCTCTCTCTCCACCTACCTAGATTACTTCTTAGAATTTTAACTCTATCCCACCCTATTGAATACATTTTCTCTCGTTTATCTCGTTCTTTTAACCGACTAAGATATTGACCTGTAATGCTTCTAATTCGCAAGTCCTTAACTAAACCTGATGAATGATCTGATTCTAGGTGACAACATGTTCCAATCACAATATATGAGGGATAACTGTTCTTCAGTTATATCATCCAGTCTCAAACTGTACTTCTGAACATTTTACAGTCGGCTTTCGCAGCTAGATAGATATCGTGGATGGATTTCTTCAAGGAGACAGAGCAAATACATATCATAATGGAATATTTTGCAGTTCAACTCTGATAGCATGGCGTCAAATGATATACTATCAGTTAATATTTTACTTGAAGATATTGCTCGAAGGGGAAATATGATGTAATAAACTTCTCTGGAAATTCTGTACATTTTATAAATACTATCCAGAATAAAAATATTATTATTATTTTCTAAAGTTTGGTTTGCAATTCGTGATTTTAGCGCGACTCCAACCATTGTTGTAGGTGGGACATCCATCCACACACATGACATCTAATCGGACCTCACTGGTCACGACTTCTCACTAGAACTCAGGAAACTCCAACCTGTAGCAAGTCACTAGCGAGCATCAGATTAATTTTCTATAGTTTGATCTTCAAAGGTTACTTATGTTTTTACGAGTTGATCACGGATTGATATTATTATCACTATTATTATTATTACTATTATTTTTATTATTATTACAATTATTATCATCAATATTTTTTTATTACTATTATTATTATTACTGTTATTATCATCATCATTATTATTATTACTACTATTAGTGTTATCATTATTACTATTATTATAATTGTGATTATTAACCTTGTCTAGATTACTAGCTCGCTAGTTTTCTAGCCGGTCACAAGCCCAGATAAAGAGGGAGGGTTGGAGCATGGTGCTAGCATCTCCACCCCCAAAACTTAATCAAATCGCTGCAGAAACTTCAACAATTATTATTATGTTATAGTTTGATGAGACCTAAATATTTTCCGGTCTAATCATACCTCAGTCAACGAAAAACACGGTCGATCGAGAAAGGGGGCAAAATGGCTGACGTAAGCATAACACGCACACACACACACATGCTCCCCCACCGCTATAATTAGTATATAATCAATAACGATCCACTAAAAAAAGAAAAACGCCATTTCAACCTTTCACACTGAATGCAAAGACCCAAAAGCTAAAAAGAAAAAAGAGAACAAGAAGACATACACCACTGTGATTAAAAAAATTAGTGTGTTACATTGAAAAACAAAAAGTAAGTTACAGTAAAGAATACACAAGGCAAAAGTAAGTATTCACTTGTTGTATTGAAAAGAATTAACATCCTAATAAAATCTGAAATGCACAGGTTGAATTCAATTTACAACCAAAAGTTTATATCCTTTAAAAATGCCTCTAATTTATGGAAACTTTTCAAAGAAATTACTAGTGCTAAACAGATGAATCGTATTCCTTATTCCTTTGATGTATGCACACTAAACAAGTCTTCCATGCATTCTCCCACAAATGCCAAACTTCCTAGTGTTACAAGTCTTAATGAAACCTGTAATTCCATTATGGGTAAATTTTGTTTTGATAAAGTCTCACAGCGTTATACAGTAATGTTTACTGATGACGTTTCGAGCACAATTTATTGCTCATTATCATATCATATCCTTGATATGATTATGAGCAATAAATTGTGCTCGAAACGTCATCAGTAAACATTACTGTATAACGCTGTGAGACTTTATCAAAACAAAATTTACCCATAATGGAATTACACTCTACCACAGTGCACAAGTTGTATTCTTATATTAATGAAACCTGCTTCCCTGGTTTCCACACAAATGATGTTCTATAATGTCTCCAGTTTCTGAACCCTTCTTGTAGCCTGGGCCCAGATGGTTCGCCTAGTGTTATTCTTAAAAAATGTGCAGACACCCTGTGTTATCCTCTCATGGACATATTTAACGAATCTTTTTCCAGAAATGTCGTGCCAGCCGTTTGGAAGGACATCAAAATTGTACCTATCCCTAAGTCGTCTACTGGAATATGTTTTAAATTTAGACCTATTGCTATTACCTCTCCTTTTCTAAAAACTATGGAAAACCTACTATTAACTAATCTTCAACCCTCAGTTAAAGCCTTTAACAATCCCAAACAATTCCCTAATAAATATAGTAGAAGTACTTTAGATACAGTTGCAGTCTTGTACCATAACATTGTCTCCAGCTTAGACAAGGGGGCTAAACTTGTTTGCTGCACCTTCCTAGATTACACATCTGCTTTCGACTCAGTACCTAGGGCCATTTTGTTAAACAAGCTTGCTGAAACTCAAACTGAATGTTGTCAAATGACTGAACTCTTATTTCTCAGGAAGAAAGCAGTACACTGTATGTCAAGGAAAGTCGTCCACTTCGCTGCTTACTGAGGCTGGTGTCCCTCAAGGTGCTGTCCTTTCTCCTTTTCTGTTTTCTTTCTTTTTGCATGACTTGCCTTACTCTGATAATGAAATGAACTTTGTTAAGTATGTCGACGATCTACCTATTTCAATGTCTGTTAACTCCCAGTTAGGCTGTACTAAGATAAACAGCTTTCTATCAGGAGTTAGCAAATGGTCTCCGCCTAATGGTCTTAAACTAAATCCTTCCAAATGCCAGACTGTTAATTTCAGTTTCCGATGTAAACGAAAGTTAAATGAAGCTGTTGGTTCCTATGACCCTTGCAAAATTGATGATACTGATATAGAAATCAAGTCTGAAGTTAAGTATCTTGGATTAATTCTTTCCCTTCTGACCTATCCTGGTCTTCCCATGTCTTAACGATTTCTAAAAGAATATTTCGTCTGACTTTTTACATTAAGAAGTTAAGGCACTCAGGCATAACTTAACCCCTTCTCTTCCTAAAGTTTGTCAACTCGTGCATCTTACCTATTCTTCTTTACTATTCACCCTTATTTTTTCCTGGATTGTTTAAAAAAGACTATGTTATACTTCGTAGAACTCTGAAGACTGTCAGTAGGGCGAGTGGTATCCCATTGGGCCATATCGTTGACAATGTCACTGATAGGCACTTGATGCCCTGCAACAAATTTGCTAAAGGAATTTTGTCTGACTGTGAACACCCCACTCTACCCGCAGATCCAACCTTGCGTCTCCTCAGGTAAAACAAGAAATCTATTCAGATAACTTTATGCATGTACGTCTGAGTATAAAATTTCCACTATACCATATTTGGCGGTACGTACTTTATGTAATGAAAATAGTGTTAGGCATGAACCAACTAACCTTCTTTGCACTATTAAATAAACCATTTCCTCCACCCTTACACCATCAAACTTTATTGTTATTGTATTTCTTATATTTGTAATCCTCTCAATTTTTTGTTTTTATTTGTCTATTTTTTATAAGTGTGAACATCATTTAAGCTGTGTTACCACTGTTAATCTTGTAGTTCCCCTCACCATGCTGCTATACCAACAGGACATTAAATTCAATAATCTACAACATGCTAAAATTTCCAAACTGAAATGATAATCCTGTTTGAAACAAACTCACTCTTATTATTATTATTATTATTATTATTATATTTAATAATCTCAATTTGTGCTTGGAATATTTTTGACTTTATATTGTAAACGTGGACAAATTCTTCTGGTTACTTTTGTTTTAATTTTTAATTTTATTTATATTTTAAGTAAATCAGATGCCATATTGTGACAAATGCTGAGAATTCCATTCTGTATTATAAGTACTGGCTGTTTTGGAATAAAGTAAATTATTATTATTATTATTTCACTCACATCACAGTACATTGGTATATTTACATATACACAGAGAGATACAGAGAGAGAACTGAAAACATTTACAAGTATTCACCACCTACCTACCTATATATATATATATATATATATATATATATATATAGAAAAGCATATTTCAAAGTCTTTGTGGATGTCAGTGAATCCTGCCGCTGCTGCTGCTCCTCCTCCTACCGGTAGTAAAGGGTAGTAGTAAGTACTGGTAGGCAAAAACAAAATAAAACACCGGACAATATGTGTTTGATTAAAATTTACAATGTCTAACCACCATCACGATGACCATCTCCACGTGTTTACACAGTTTTCCCATTACCTTCGTTATATATGTTAGTTATGCTTTCAGGGTGGAGGCATCACCGAATACAGACGGTAATGATGACGTTGACGATGAATAGAAATACTGAATAAATTGCTGCCTAAAAACAAGAATTACCCCCCTTAAGGATGAATAACACTCATTTAACTTGGACAAATTATACACAGATAAATAGATAGATAGATATATAACCGAAATAAAAGTAGACAAATTAATTTTCAAAATAATAATAATAATAATTTGCTTTCAAGAGTATTTTTGTTGTCGAGATTATCACACTACTGATAATAATAATAAGTAGAGGAAGTCGGGCGCAATCGACTCATTGATAACGATGCTCACTACTCTTTATGAATTTTTCCACTGGGTCTACTCCGCCAACTGATCAGACGAAACAGAATGAAGATATTACACACGAAATAGTTCAGTGAAGCGATCCATACCAGTAGCCAGACAATACGATTTAAAAATATACCCTTTAGTGTACACATTTCTAGGCTATAGGCAGACGCCAACCATAAAGCTTGTGAAGCGAACCAGATGAATAAATTTTGTACTATAGCACGATAAGCTGTAATTTCTCTGGGTAAATGTATATCAGCTAAAGCGATTGGGAGTAGGCAGAGACTCCATAAAAAGTATTGAGAAGTACACACCTGCAGGGGGAGGAGAAGAGGAGAAATCATAGAACAGTTAAATAATTTTAGTGGTTGATGAAAAAAAAGCTGTTACATCTTGTGTTCTCAACGTTAGAGTAAGTTACCTTTTTACATATACAAAATAGAAAAACTCAATCGATTATGTGTCTTTCATTACTGTATTCATTTCCCCAGTACTCCAACCTTTTTGAAGTATAAAGAAAAATCTGACCGAAGAATATTCTTTTCGATAGCACGTTAACCGCTTCACTTATTTGGGAAGTACCATCAGCCAACGCCAACGGGTTGATCTCTGACGAAATCTCAGCACAGATACAGAAAGCTAGTTTCGCATTTGTCAGTTTACGCCGACTCTGGCGTAGACAAGATGTTCGACTATCGACCAAAGGGCGGCTGTACTGCTCATCAGTCCGTTAAGTCCTCCTCTGTGGCTGTGAGCAAGGCATGGCCATTCAGAATAGAAGACATGAGAAGATTAGCTGTCTTTGATCATAGGTGCCTGCATTCTATCTCTCGTTTGTGTCATGTGTTATGATAAGGTGAGCAATATTTAGGTTAGGCGTTGAGTTCTAGGTAGGGAGGGGAAATCAATCGATGAGGTTGTGAAGTTACATAGACTGAGATGGTTAGGACATTTGTTACGTATGCCTAGTCATCGCCTTCCTCAACGAGGAATGTTAGCGGATATAGGGTCAGGCTGGAAGAAAGCTAGCGGAGGTCAAACCAAAACTTGGCACCAGTCAATGAAATCTACAGCAGTTAGTCTAAACCAGCCAGCCACGTAGGAAGGTGTAGACTTCCTAACTGGTTGGGGTCCTCGGGATGGCTCAAAATGGTTGTCAGTGGCGCAGATGCATCCACTCCTTGTGACTTATGATTTCCAATGAAACTGTATTGTTCTTCGTTATTACTATTCCTTTGTCTCACACCTCTGTTTACTGTCCCTATTATGCATTTCTTCTACTTTCTTGTCTTGTTCTGTGTGCTACAAGGAGGGAGTGTGGCGACTTGAACTGGTGCACATCGGTGTCGAAAACAGACAGATATATATATATATAAGCCAACAAAGCACATCGAAGAAGGCAGTGAGTAGTTCAGCGTGCATAAACACGGTACACCGTTCACAAACGACGGTCGACTGACTTTCCGTCCTTACTTAAAACTATGCCCGAATATTACTCACAAAATTTTAAACCACCTAACACAAGAAAATCGACAGAAATATACCAATGGTGAAAATGACTATTTTCCTCATGTGTTGCCGCCCCCCACCCCACCGTTTCTCTTATTTTTCGTAAGAAATGTCAACCATGTATCATTCGCTAATATAACTAACTAATTGCTTTCAATGTAAAACTTCAGAGGGGTGAGTCTAGATTCAGGTGTCACACCCCCCCTCCCTCCTTGCAGCACATAAAAGCAACAGGAGACAGTAAAGAGAGATTTGAAGGAGAAAGAGAGAGAGATAATAAACACAAGTGTGAGAGAAGAATGGTAATATGAAAGAACAATGCAGTTCTATTGGATTTGATAAATCACAGATAGTGAATGCATTTGCGACAAACATTGACAAAACGAGGATTTTGAGCCATAATATCACCCGTTATTATCTCCAGATATCATTCCTCCTGCATACCATTCCCATGAGTGCTACCAGACAGCAGTTCAGTCTACACTTACCAAGGTGGCTGCCTTAAAGTAACTGTTGTGAATGTCTATGGTTTGGTTTGCAAGGGTTAGTTTTGTTTTTACAAGTTTCACCACGGATTGATATCAGTTAGAGAACCAATGAAAACCAGCACTGAACTACTGGACAAGTGTTTCATCAGCCTAGTTTGGGAATCATCGGCAGTACACACCCCTTGGGATTTGATCCCAGGACCTTCTGGTTACAAGTCAAGCTCGTTGTGAATTTCATTGACTGATGAAGCCATAGTTTGGTTTGACCTCAAACTAGCTAGCTAGCTAGCTCTTTCCAATCGCATACATCCTGTGTCAATCAGCTAACTAACACATTGCCCATAGGTCGAGGAAGGCGATCAATGGCTAGTCATGCATGCGTTACACATACATCCTAACCATCTTAATCGATGTAACTTCACAACCACCTCTTCAATTGACTGCATCTCCCACCCACCTCGACCACCGATGCCCAACTAAAATATTACTCACCGTATTATACCACACACACACACACACACACACACACACACACATGGAGGATAGAACGCAGACACCTATAATCTAAGACGCTTATAAAAGGAGGAGAAAGTTAAAATAGATTTTCCCAACATTCATCATCGAGTAAAATCAAATATGTGTACTTAAACTAATAAACTACACTCCTTTAAAAAAACGAAATACATTTCTTTACAGATATATATATTCAAATATATCTTAAAACTGCCTAAAGGCATACAATAATAATAGTCTACTTTATTCCAAAAACAGTGCTTATATTACAGAATGGAATTCTCAGCATTTGTCACAATATTGCATCTGGATTTACTACCACCTCGCTTCTTCCTTGAACTGCCTTGGTCTTATCTGTACCTATTGAAACCATTCAGTAAGATTAAATTATCATCATATGAATCGTGGAAGCGTTATCACACCTGTATTACGGTAAATATTTGAAAATAATATAGAGCATCCAAGTAATTAAGCTTGTTCGATAATGACCTGCAATCTGTGCTCATAATCACAGGAACAGTCACCTGATGATACATTGAAGTGCACTTTAAGGCTCGTTGCCAGCCACCATGACGCTTTTTCTTAAGGTTATTTATTATATATTCAATCGTAAATCATCAGGTTGGAAACATTTTAAATAATCGCGAGAGTAAGTAATACAAGTTGGATACATAGTTGAATAATTAAAACAAAACAATAAATAAATAAAATATTCCTAATTGTGGTGAACTGGATTATGCATCAGACAGTGAGTGGGAAACAAGAAGACAGGGATATCCTGGACCGATCAACGTGAAGAACCTAGAAGACCTGGATTTCGCGCGGCGATGATTTATGTTCGATGTCACACAAAATCGAAGACTTACAAGCGAAAACCGACAAACTGGTCGAAGAAGCAGCCGGTGAAGAGAGGACTCAAGGTGAACATAGACAAGATGGAGGGTTATGAATATAACAAACCAACCAACCAACCAACAAAAACAGCAGTAACATCCAGCGTCAATCACCATCAACGGGAGGGATTCGAAAGAGGTTACATCATTCAATCACTTATCTAAGGAGCATTGTCTCAACTACAGGAAGTCGGAACGGACGAGGATGTCAAATCGAGGATCCGGAAGGCGAGCGAGAAACACATTCACCAACCAACTGAAACCAGTCTTGAAATCTTCGTCACTCAACTCACCATCAACAACAAAATTCAGTCGGATTTTCAATACAAACAACGTCAAGTCAGTCAGTTCTACTATACGGGTCAGAAACTTGGCGGGCGGGTCACAAAGAATATTTCTAACAGCCTGTTGCAGACCTTTATTAACAACTGTCTTCACCGGATCTATACTGAAGATCAAATGGCCGGGTTAGAAAGAATCACCACCAACAAGAAACTATGGGAACAAACAAAACAAGAACCAATCGCCAACCAACAAATATGCAGGAGAAAGTGGAGTGGAGATGGATTGGACACCCGAAAGGGAAGCGGCAAGTGGGTCATCGACGCAAGGGTGACATGGAGGAGATCGTGTGAAGAGGAGCTGAAAGAGTATGAACTAGCTAACATGGATGCAAGTGAAAAGTACAGCAGAAGGAAGACAGAAGTGGCAAGTGGAGACGTGCAGTTGAAGCCCTATGTTCCACTAGGGACCAAAGGGAACAATAATAATAATAATGAAGTCCAGGTAATCATATGCAATATAAGTGACGGAAAAATTAAGTAGCCTAAGGTTTAAGTAGGCCGCCCGGATATGACATATACAATATGATATATACAACACAATAAATGAACATGAAGTAGATTGATTGATTGATAAAAAGTCGTCAGTGTGTGTGTGTGTGTGTGCACAATTCAACTTACCCTATTAAATGTAACAAACATATACGTGAGTACAAACCAGCATAGACCAAGATTAGAGTGAAGTTTCAACGATAAAGATGGTATTAACAATAGACACGGTAAAATTGTAGCAATCTTGAAAATGCCTTCCATTAATTGAATTGTACTGAGATTCTCCAATAACAATAATAATGATGATGATGATAGTAATGAATTCTCCGCATTCATTGAACCAGAGTATTGATTATCAACACCACTGCTACCCCAGTGAATCAATGAACTCGTCAAATTCTTCCATAGCATACTCAACCAATTATGATGATTAATAGCCCCCACTTCCCCACTAGCTTCTGCTGCTGTTGCTAACCACCATTTTTGTCCAGAAAGTAAATAAACAGTTAAAAAATGTGGTGCAAAATTATGCTTAAAATCTGATCGACTGAAATGATACAGACAGGCTTTTTGAAGATATAACATCCCACCAAAATAGGCATAACAGAATCCAGTCAATGTGATCAAGCTCAGTAGACAAGTGAATCCAAATATAAAATGATTTCGATTGGGTAATTTTGTCAAGAGGAGGCTTAAACTTCTTAACTGACTATTCAGCGTCTCACAATCCTCTTCCTTTTTCGTTATCTTCACCGTCTCCAAATTCTCCACATCCTTGTCCTGGCCATCTTTCATAAGCCATAAATAGATAGACAGTGCATAGATGATTGGATATATTCTTAGATGAATACACAATCCATAGAGAAGTCCAGCTAGAGCAATACGACGCTTTAGTATACACCATAGACATGTGATGACAAGACAACTTTGTAATGCATCTGCATTACCACGAACAGAGACTACGGCGGTCACAGGATTGAATAACCAACCGAATGCAACCAGCGATATAGCTAATCGGCTTGTAATGAGCGACAGTGAAATTCGTTGAGTCTTTTGATCAGCATGATGATGATTGACCAACTGATCTTTCTACAAAATAGAATACAGAGAGAATTACACTAAGAGATTAACAAACACGCAATACCGACAAAATAAACCAACGTACATAATCGGCAGTACGCACCCAGAGGGGTTCGAACACATGACCTTCAGGTAACAAGACAAGCTGGTATACCATTCAGTCATTAAATCGATTTCCCAGTGGCTGAATGGTATACGAGCCAGCTTGCCTTGTAACCGTAAGGTCCTGCGTTCGAAACCAAGTAGGCGCGTACTGACGATGATTGCCAAACTAGGCTGATGAGACAGCTGTCCAGTACTCCCTGGTCTTTAATGGTTCTCTAGCTGATAGTGATCCATGATCAACTCGTAAAAACAAAACTGACCCCTACAAACAAAACTATAGAGGAGAAATATTTACTTTTCAATTCGATCCTCATCTCTGGCTCTACTCTAATAAATATATAGCATTTTTATTACAATGTGCGTCGGTGGTATAGCGGTTAGGACGGTCGCCGACCATCCACATGGTCCGGGGTTCGACCCCCGGCCGGCGCACTCCTTTACCTCACTGAGCCAGAAATAATGCTGGTAAAGAGGAAAGGTTGGGCATGAGGCTAGCAACCCCATCCTGTAAAAATTAAACACTGCTACAGAAACTTCAAGCCACTAGCTTGGAGCCCTATGTTCCACTGGGAACGTGAAGGAAAAATTATTTATTATTTATTATTATTTTTATTACAATAGACAACAATTTACCAATCAAGTGGCACTGATATGTTTGTTAACAATAATCAGTCAGTGTCAATGTGTCAATGGGTTGATAATTAACGAGGAAAATCAATACACACAATTAAAAGGTAGCAAAGGTTAAAATAAATTAATTTTACAAGGATACAACGTAATTAAAGGTGAAGGGATCAGAAGAAATTAAATAAATTAATTTGGACAATTATAATTTTTATAATTTTAAAGGTTTAGGGGAAGGGAGATGAAGTAGTCCGGTTCATACAATCATGTAACAATGGCCAAGGTAAAGAAAGTGGCTGTACAAATTTCTTCTGAATACACACACAGGTTTGGTTCCTCCAGGTGGATGCCTATTGCTTCAGCTGTATGTAGAAGACGAACTCGTAGAGTAAAATTAAGATTAATAGGAATGTGACAGATAATTTTAAATGAAGTATTAATGTCAACCTTATGCTCACTATCTACAAGGTGTGTTAAAACAGAGCTACCAACGAATGGATCTTGTTTGTCCCTTGCATAACCACGCAGGATGATGTTCGGAAATTCGACGAGAAACACGCCTAATTGTACGGCCTATGTAACTGGCTCCACAGGAGCTGAGGCTGTGGGGATCCATATTAACAAGCCTAATTTGTACATCCAAAAGAAGTTAGTTCAGACATTATCATTACCCCACTGGCCATCTAGGTTTGAATTGTCCTGAATTTTTGTGGAATTTTCCTAATTTTAGTTGGTATTCAATTCTCTATTGTATTATTATTATTATTATAATTTAAGCATCTTTAATGAAGTGTAATTCCATTGTGATCTTACTTTACAAATCGATATTATTTAAAAAACATGAATATTGTTATTGACTACTATTCTAGAATATTCTACGTATATAAACATATGTATATATAATTGTAGTGCGAGAAGGGGAAATTATCGAAAGGGGGGGTATTCTTTGCTCAATTATTTTCTGTTTTATAGATGTCTGAAGGAATATTTTTGCTATATTGAATTCTGTCAGTCAGATTTCCAATGTGACCACCAATCTAATTGGCTGGCTATCACGGTGCACTTAGAGTTGTTGATATTAGACGGTTGGAGGCCGTTAACAAAAAGCCTTGCCGAGACCGAGGTTTCGTGCTAATTGGCACTCACTCACCAGTGAGCAATGCAGGGTGAAAAACACGTACCGTCTGACATTCGAACACGCATCACCCAGTGGCGCTCGCAGTCAGTCAGAAAGGTTACCTACCACTGAGCTATTTGGGCTCACCATTGACCTCCTGTAGGACTGACTGTATTAGATACTTTTGATTGGACACTAGTCAGTAACTAGTGTAATAGTTTTGTATCTAGTCTATCTGTCTTTGTACAGAAAGGTTTAAACATACTTGAGAAATTTCGAACATGCACCGAAAAGTCTATGTCTCCAGTGGGAACAAACGCTTACAATAGTACCATTATCAAGCATCTCCTTGATACGGATCATGTGATGAAAACGGGAAAATAGTTTTAAATTATCAATAGACAAAAACAGTTTAGTTCTCCTCAAGTGTGCTGAAGCAATCTCTATCGAACGCCTGAAACCCGATTAATGTGGTCAGAAAGAAACAGTTATTAGTTCTTCTTTGACCAGCCTGATGAATGGATGTCATATTTCTCCTCTCTCTTACTTACTTTACTTTACTTCGGTTATCTCCTACGGGAGGATGAGCCGGCTTCATGAACCATGAAGTTTCATGGGAATTAGGTACGAGTGATGTCCCCAGCATCGCTCGGCCTTTTGTTTGAGAGTGCAGCTCTAGCCTTTACACAACCAAGTGTGACCTACAAGGCAGTAGGAGTGGAGTAGGGAGTCCACTATCCATTGTCAGCCGGTGGCCGGAGTCCGGTTCATACGCCTTTTTGAATAGGGTCAGACATCCAGGGCATCCAATAAGCCCTTTGTTCATAGGTCTGCCGGTGAGCTCCGGTGAGCTTCATACGCCAGTCGTTGGAGGTTTGGAGTCAGGGTTTAGCCATCTCCCCTAGACTGTCATCCAATGGACAGTTAACCCGGTGAAGAGCGCCAGGCATCCACTTTTGCCCTCTCACTTTGGTGAAAAACACCTCCGCCACGTGAAGGCAGTGAGTAGGACTTCCTCATGAGAGGCTATGTAAGACGCCCGGTCATATGGGAGCATTTCAAGAGGTGTACGGAGGGGTGTATATGTATAATCTCCTCTCTCACTTGATTACTTAATCTTTGGCTTTAACCCAACCCTGTAACTAAAGAAGACATGTGCCAGGCAACAGGTCGTTAATTGAGCAAAATCAAGATATATATATATATATATATATATTTTATGCACATTATTATTCGTTATTACTAGCAGAGTAACAGCGTCTTATGATCGGTCATTTTCTCGCTGAAAGTTAATCTGTCACCTTTTTGTGGCTGTTTCTTTGAAGGTCAGACCACATATCTGTGAATCATATCCGCCCACGTAAAGTCTGCTGATATTGGTTATTCAGTTAGTCTTTGCTCTTGTCTTTTTCTCATGACCAAATATTGGGGATGTAAACATTGACGTAAATTGCTATCTACCAATTTTGGCCAGCAGACGGCTCCCACCACAACCCCACCCCCTTCTCTCTCTGATATAATCTAATTTTGCTTGTCTGTTTTTTTCCATAATTTCAGCTGAACTCAGTACACTGCTACCCAATTTATTATTCACTCATCATCTTATGCATCTTCATTATGTAACTCCTTTACTATTGTGTATGCATGCATACATTGGTTACTTTGGTTAAACTTGAATTCTCTGTATAATTTTATGAGCACTATTCACTAAGTTTGCGACCTCCAGTCAACTGACATCATGGAAAAAATTTGCAAGTATGCTAAGAATTCCCGTGTACGCATAAACTTAATAATAATTAATTTAGACTGTAAGCAAGCCGCTGAGCTGATGAGACGCCAACGAAATAAACACAATGAAGGCACCACATCTTGTATTCTGCACAAACCACCACCATTGTTGTTGTTCTTGCTTTATTCAAACTCCTAGTGTGGCGAGAGCCGGCTATTAGTCAAAATTGGTGGACAGTAGTTTACGTCAATGTGTATGTCCACAATATTGATCGTGAGAAAAATGAGAACAAAGGCTTTGCGTAGGCGTGTATAGTTAACATATAGATGATCTGACATTCAAGAAACAGTCACAAAGAGATGCAAGGTTAACTTTTTGTGAGAAACAACCAATCAGATGACTGTGTCTGTCTGCTAACAATAATCTATATTAATGTACATGAAAATCTATAACTATGCGTTGATTTCCATAATAAACGATCTATTTCCTGGCTCTTGTCTTCTGTTGTTACACTAGTTCACACAAGTCCTACAGATGAAACTTGAAGTTCACAGAAAGGAAGAAAACTAGCGCAGCAGAAATGAAAATTACAAAAAACAGAACAAAACAAACAAGATCAACCAACTTACAACAAGTTTGTCTTGTATAATTATGTATTGTAAATAACCACAGAGTAGATCAGCCATTATAAAGATCAATTTACCCCATAGATGAGCTAGGGCAGGAAGAATGAACGATTTTCCTTTTCCTTCAACTGTTGTTGAATTCGACACTGAATATTCACCATCAGAGAATAACCAATATCCTGGAGCGAGTATTATTGCAATCAACGGTGAATATCGATAAGTAGGACGTTCAGTGTACATATTCTTCCCGGCGACAAAAGCCCGTGCACCATCTGCAAACACATCATAATCTACATCAGTGAATCGTAGTTGACCATCTGGCCAACGAACTGTATCTTGCCATACAGCGAATATTACTAATATCAGCCGTACAATTAAAGCTGTCGTGAAACATAAACGATAGTAGTCTGAGTTGTAGTCTGAGGATACAACAGCTGATGAAACCTCTTGATCATGATGATTGACAAATTGATGTTTCTTTGCATCTCCATCGGAACAGAGTTCACTCCTACTGGTAGTGGTGTGCGCCATCTTTGTTACTCTATGATGATGAATTTGTTCACCGTCAGAACAGTGAGATATTTCCGTTGCATAATTCGACTTGATTTGTCTCAGTCTGAGAGTTGACTTATCCAGGCTGGTCATCTCATCATTATCGTCATTTACAGGATTATTGGCGTCAGTGGACAGACGACTTATAGTATTAGTATGCTGTTTACGATCAACAATTACCACATCACCACATGGTTCATTCACATCCCTTATGGATAAATCCATACTCTAAAAAAAGGGGTAGAACAAATTATTGAGATTATTCTCAATTTTAAAATCACAATAGTGGTAAATAATGCGGACGAAGATCATTCAATTATTGCAATATTAAACATATAAATATAGCATGTTAAAACTTAATCTTTATTTTTATAGTGTCAGTTTCCTCCAGTGACATAGAAACACTCCTCATACCTAAAATGAACAATCACCTTTAACTCAAAATGACCGAGTTTACACCATGTTACACCATGAAGTCAATGCTCTCATTCGTGGCACTGGGAGACAAACAGGGTAGCCCGTCATCATATCACTGAACTCCCACCCAAGTTGCTAAACGGTCAATGAGACTGACTTCGTCGCAACCTGAAGATCCTGGGTCCTATCCCTGATAGGGAGTCATACTGGTGCACTGTTATGCTGAAGAGTCTCAAACTAGGACAAAACACCTTTGTCCGATGCTCTCTGATTTCCAATCATCTATAAACTATCGAAGCCTATAATTCAATGAATCAAAGTCTCTAGAAAAAGTCATAATCTAAATTATACTAGCAGACTAAATCTTAACATCTTTCTTATAAGTTGATCACGAATTGATGTCAGTTAGAGAGAACCAATGGAAACCAGCCAGAGGGAGGTACTGGAGAGCTTTTTCATCCTAGTTTGGGAATCATCGGAAGTAGGCACCTACCGACAGGGTTTCAACCCAGGAGCTTCCAGTTACAAGGCCAGCAAGCTCGTATACCATTCAGCCACTGGGACCTGACTCATCAATGGCCACTCCATGAATTCTAACTTCTACCAATTCGTGATCTGTTTTAGCGCAACCCCAACCATCGTCGTAGGTGGAACATCTATCCCCTACACGTGAAATCTGGATGGACCTCATTGGTCACAACTTCTCACTAGAACTCCGGGAAATTCCATCCTGTAGCTAGTGACTAGCGAGCATCATCGGTATATGAGCTTGTCTTGTAACCGGAAGCTCCTGGGTTCGAAACCCCCTGTGGTGGGTGTGTACTGCCGATGATTCCCAAACTAGGATGAAACAGCTGTACTCCAGGGGTGGTTTCCAATGGTTCTCTAAATGATATCAGTCCGTGATCAACTCGTAAAAACAAAACTAACCCTTACAAACCAAACTATAGAAAAGGTAACTATCATCATCAAATGCGAGATAAGCCAGCACAGTTAAACTTTATGCCTCTCGTATAGGAAAACAAACGAAAAGTTCACTTTTTAGTACCACCATGACAATGTACCACCAAACTTGTCTGACTGGTCAACCGCTGAAATAAAAAAGTGACAAACATATTGTCAAGTTCTCACAGAAACACAACAATATGATTACATAAATCAACCTATAGATTTGATTTTAAAACTATTATATATGATAATCATGAGGGAGATCTAACACATATGATTGATTACTAATGATAATATTTTGGTAATTTCACATATTCTTGTAACTATTTGAATTTCATTCAAATACTAATTGATGTATAAACTTAACAAAACTATCATTTCGTAACCCTTCATCGTAATGAAACGACTATATCCTTATACTTCCGAAATACTTCACGAGTCAACTAAATAGTTTCACAATAATAATTTGTTTATTAGATACATCACACAGTCAATGACACAGTATAATTTACTGGATCACGACGCCTTATGAACACAATTTACTGTTTATAATCATTTCATCAGTGATAATCACACGACTTTGAAACTTGAGTTTTATACTTTTCTTTGTTCTCTCCTATTTGTCGTCGTTGGGGTAGTAGAATTTTCCAGATATCTGGGTGGATAGGTGTTCAATCATTTCTATTACATGTATTCACTCTCAGTTGATTCGATAAACAAAGCTTCAGTTATCAATCTCTTCCTCCACCCTGTCAGTTGCATTAGATTTTAAAACTGTCATCCTATCCCATCCTATTGTGTGTGACTGCATGTGGTGTAGTGCTATAACTGAACTATTCTCTAGATTTCTTATCTTATTCGGGTCAACCAATCTATATTTTGCTAGGTTTTTATGCTTGGCTAGTCTGACTACCCCTGTTTGTTCTACTAGTTTGACCAATGTGTATTTGACCTGACAATCATTCCCGCAGGTAGGGTATTAGATAGACTACATTGTTTTGTTTAATTGGCTACACAGGATTGATCCTTTAACGGATAAACCTTGTTTCTAATTGAGTTTGTGGTTGGTTTGAATGACAGCCACACTTATTCCTGCCTGCATCAAAACTAAATAGTACCACGGGAAATCTAAGACAGGAAATAAGGCATATTAGAGAAGTTTTGAAACTTAATAATTACCCTGATAAATTAATCAGAAAGTATGTAGGAAAGTGTAGAAATAAAATTAATAATAATAATGATACTGATAGTGAAAATAAAAAGAATGATAATGTTACGACATTAGACCATTACGACATTTAGGCCAAACATACACAGAATAATTCCAACATCAACAATCGGTAATTTTATTCGCCATCAGTAGTACTTCAATGTAAATAAGAAACCTAGGGAACCTCGGAGACGGAGAATTCTTAACAATGCAGGCAGGCATAAAAGTGGCTGACATTCAAACTGACCTCAAACAAAATTAGAAACAACCCTTGTCAGTTGAAGGATGAATCCTGTGGATCCAATCAAACAAAACAATTTAGTTTATTTAATACCGTGCTTGCGGTGATTGTCACGCCATATACACATAGGTCAAAGTAGTAGAACAGAGTCAGTCAGCGAGGCTAGCGGAGCACAAATTCCTAGCAGAAAAATCTAGATTAGCTGACCCGATACCAAGATAAGAAATCCGTAGGATAGTTCAGCCATAGCAGTACAACACATGCGGTTACACACAATTATACCAATAAGCTGAGTGGGATAAGATAACACTTTTAAAATGTAATACAACTAACATGGTAGAGAGAGAGAGAGAGATTGATAAGTGAAGCTTTATTCATCGAATCAACTGAGGAAAATACATCCAACATCTATCAGGTCAGACATCGGGAACATTCTACTACCACCCCAACAACGACGAATAGGAAATAATGAAGAAAACTATACATACTATCCATACAATCAAACCAAATTCCTACAAAACCAACACTTGAAAGTTAATCTGATGCTCACTAGCAACTGGCCCTATTCAGGCAGTATCCCTGGGGTTCTAGTGGGAAGCCGTGACCAGTAGGGTACAGCAGGTCGAAGATGAGGCAGTAACTCATCGAAGAAGACATTGCGAAGTGGTCGCGCTATGTCGTGAATTGGCAGAAGTTAGAATTCATCAGCCATTGGATCGGGTCCCAGTGGCTCAATGGTCTACGAGCTTGCCTTGTAACCAGAAGGTCCTGGGTTCGAACCCCGGTGAGTGCGTACTGCTGAGGAGTCCCAAACTAGGACGAAACAGGTGTTTAGTACTCCCAGGTTTTCCAGTGGTTCTCTAACCGATGTCAGCTCATGATTAAATCCTCCATACAAAACTATAAAACTCAAGTATCGAAGTTGTGTGATTATAAATGATTAAATGATTATGAACAAAAAATTGTGCTGGAAACTTTGTCATCGGGTAAATAATACTGTTTCATTACTGTGTGATATATCTGATGAATAAATTAATATGGAATTACATACTACCACAGAGCCAAAGTTTTACACATAAGTTAATACAGTGAACAATATCACAAATAATGTGGAGGTTAGGTGGACAGAATAATCAAAGTTCGCCCCCATACAAAGAGATTCGTGAAAGGGAGGATAATACTTAAGTATGATGACCAATCCTAGAGACAGAATCACTGATGACGTGGATACTAAATCATTGAATATATATCCAAAGCTTGAAATGTTCAGTTTCACACTAATAATTGCTAGTTATAAATATTAAACCATCTAGTGACAACTAGATGTGAGTATGTCAACTTATAACTCAGAAAAATAATGCCTGTATGTGACATATTGTTAGGAATTAATAAGCACAAAGTACATGTCTTGTAGATGTCAACATCAACTCACAAATTCTACGACTTAATTGTGAAGCATCTTTTTCAATTTCTAGTCTATTTATTTAAAGTAGACGTCTGTGTATTCGGGGTAGACTAAAAACTCTTGATCAACTATCATAATTAATCACTACAATGGGACGAGATTTCACGAGCACACAATGCTACAAAAATTAGCGTGTGTACATTAAATATATATCTGAGTTAGTTGTCAGTTGTTCTTTGCTTTTTTTTCATGATATCATTTTGTAATAAAGTCTAAGCTAATCAGGATTTCATCACGATGTGACATCGGTTAGAGAATTATTGGGAGACTAACTGGGAGTACTGCATAGCTAATTGTTTCGTCAGCCTAGTTTCCCACTGATTCTTCAGCAGTACACACCCACCGACAGGATTACAAAACAGCACCTTTCGGTTATAAGGTGAGCTCGAAGACTATTAATCCACTGGGACCCTATCTAATGGTCAGTGCATGAATTTCAACTTGTGTCAACTTGTGTGATATGGCGTGACCATTACCGAATGTTATCGGCGGATGAGGTGTGAGAACAAATACTTGCCAGCGATAACATTGGCTACTGCCAGTCGCTCTAAATAAATAATAATTTTTCCTTCACGTTCCCCAGTGGAACATAGGGCTCCAAGCTAGTGGCTTGAAGTTTCTGTAGCAGAGTTTATTTTAGAGGATAGGGTTGCTAGCCCCATGCCCAACCTTTCCTCTTTACCAGGTTTTATTTCTGGCTTAGCGAGGTAACGGAGTGCGTCGGCCGGGGATCGAACCCTGGACCATGTGCATGGTTGGCGAGCGTCCTAACCGCCATACCACCGACGCACAGTCGCTCTATATTAGTCTAATGGCCTGCGAGCTCGTTTGCATTGTAACCGCAAGATCCTAGATTAGAACACTGGCGATGGGTGCGTACTGGTGAAGAATTAGTCCCAAACTAGGCTGACGAAACAGCTGACTATCGAGTACTACCACCACCTGGTTTTCCAATAACTATCTAACCGATTTCAGCTCATGATGAAATCCTGTAACCAATCAACCAAATATCTAAATTATTGATCGCTTGTATTTAGACTAATCATGGAAGACATTGCCAATCTGCATATTATATCACTACCGAATATCATTCTAGTTAGTCAAGGAAAAAAATAATAATAATAATAACAACAATCATAATTCGAGTTGTACTCAGAAAAGAAAAAATACACTTGTATTCATAGCAAAAACTTGTATTCTGAAAGACAGAAAAATACACTCAGGATAGCAGAATTAGCAAGAAGAGTATCAGGAGGAGTAATTCACAGTTTGAAAGGTATCTACAAACGTTTGAAGGTAACACAACACAAGAAACACACACACACTAAACTCATATTTATACATCAACATCTGTACACAGGACAAAGTCTAGAGATGAATACGGCAGAGATGGAGAGCGAAAGAGGCAGACAGAGGGAGAAACAATAAAGTTTACTAAAATATCAGGTATCTCCTCTTGTTACACAATCACTCTGTAATAATAATAATAATAGTAATAATAATAATAACGAGAAGAATCTTGTGTGTATAGCTGCTTCTTCCAAGCCAGACTTGAAGTACGACAAAAGCTCATCGATCAGGGAAGGAGAATGACAGTGTTGTCAAACACTGACTGACCACTAGTTAATACAATATTGCACAACTGAAGAAAACAAAGCAGAAAAATTTGAAAAAATTAAAACGAAAAAACTTGTCAACTAAAGAAGTAGGTATTTTGCTACAAAAAAAAAATTCATTAAACAAACACACTGATGAAATTTATTTTTAAAAATTTTCAGCAATTTCTACTACACTTATCTAAGGAGCACTGTCTCAACCACAGCAGGAATGGATGAGGATGTCAATCAAATTGAGAATCAACAAGGCGAGCGAGAAACACATCCACATCAACCTGAAACACCACTCTCGAAATCTTCATCACTCAACTCTCAGCATCAACAACCTAAATTCAGTCGGATTTTTAATACAAACAACGTCAAGTAAGTCAGTTCTTCTAAACGAATTTGTCTGTCTGTCTGTCCGTCTGTTTTCGACATAGAACTTTGCACAAATGTGCACCAGTTCAAGTCGCCACACTCCCTCCTTGGAGCACACAAAGCAAAAGAAGAAAGTACAAGAAAAGCATAATAGAGACAGTAAACAGAGGTGTCAGACAAAGAAAGAGTATTAACGAAGAACAAAACAGTTTCATTGGAAATCATAAGTCACAAGGAGTGGATGCATCTGCGCCACTGAGAACGATTTTGAGCCATGTCACCAATTGTTTCCAACCATAGATTTTTACCGTCCCGAGGACCCCAGCCTGGAAGTCTACACCTTCCTACGTGGCTTAGACCAACTGTTGTGGATTTCATTGACTGGTGCCAAGTTTTTGTTTGACCGCCGCTAGCTTTTTTCCAGCCTGACCCTATATCCGCTAACATTGCTCGTCGAGGGAGGCGATGGCTTGGCATACGTAACACATGTCCTAACCATCTCAGTCTTTGTAGCTTCACGACTTCGTCGATTGATTTCCCCTGTTTACCTAGAACTCTACGCCTAACCTCCATGTTGCTCACCTTATTATGCCACTTTACACGGGAAATAGAGCGCAGGCACCTATGATCAAAGACAGCTAGTCTTTTCATGTCTTCCACTCTCAGTGGCCAGGTCTCACAACCATAAAGGATGATGAGCAGTACACCCGCCCTTTGGTCGATAGTCGAACATCTCGTCTACGCCAGAGTCGGCGTAAACTGGAAAATGCGAAACGAGCCCCCTGTATTCGTGCTGAGATTTCGTCAGAGATCAACCCGTTGGGGCTGATGGTACTTCCCAAATAAGTGAAGCGGTCAACGTGCTCTACCACTTCACTTCCTATTTTTAAACTAGGCGTCGATGTAGTCCAGTCCTGTAACATCATCTTGCATTTGGCGGGAGCGAATCGCATGCCAAACATTCGTAGATTGCGGCTCAAGGTGTTTAGAAGACTCTGCATTTCGTCAGCGTCTTCGCCTAGAAGGACTATATCGTCTGCATATTCCAAGTCAACGAGATTATTCCCGGTAGCAAGTCAATCCCTGAGTCGCTGAAGTCACCTAGGGTTAAGTCCATTAACACATCTATGATGAAGTTGAATAGAAAAGGAGATAATGGGCATCCTTGACGGACACCACTGGTCGTCATCAGTTCAGATGACAGCTCGCCGTAAGCCCTCACCTGGCTGTATGAGTACGAGTAGAGTGCCTTAATCAGTGCAATATATTTTCTCGGAATTCCCTTTACAGCCAAGCATCTCCAGAGAACTTCTCGATCGACAGAGTCGAATGCTGCCTTTAGGTCAAGAAATATAATGACTGTTGGACGCCGGTAGGAATGCCTATGTTCTAGAATCTGTCGGAGGGTGAAGATATGATCAATACACCCTCTTCCTGGTCTAAAGCCTGCCTGGCTCTCTCGTGTTTGTGCCTCCCGAGCACCACTCAGTCTACGCATGATTATTGAGCCTAAGACTTTAGATACTATATTAGTCAAGCTAATCCCTCTGTGATTATCACAGGAAGACTTGTCTCCCTTCTTGTATATGGGGATAATCAGTGACTTACACCAACCCGATGGGACTTCTTCTGATTCCCAGACGCTGCCTAGTACCTCAGTTAATCCGGACAGTAAGCTGTCTCCACCGTACTTAAATACCTCTGGAGTCATTCCATCAGGTCCCGCTGCTTTGCCTAGTTTCAGATTGGTGACAGCTTTAGTAACCTCAGTTAGTGACGGAGGACCTGTGTCTATATCCCATTCAGGGAGGTGTTGGATGCTCGGAAGGTTGAGCGTGGCTGTGGGCCAATTAAACTGCTCCTCATAATGCTCTTTCCAACGATCCAGTCGTCTATCCTGGGAGCTAATTATAGTGCCATTTTTTTCCGAGATTGTCTCACTAATGATTTGTCTTCTCCCACCCGTTTCCCTGATGAGTCTAAAGAGTTGCCTGGTGTTGCCTATCCTCGAAGCTTTCTCCATCTCTTTGGCTTTTGTCGCCCACCACTGTTCACGGTCCTTGCGGAGACTTTTCGTAAGTTTCCTCTTGTGCAGCTTTCGCTCCTCATTGAATTCGGAGCTCGCCGGAATAAGTCTTCTAGCATCTATCAGTTCGGATGAGGCGGTGGAGATCCAGTGGTTTTTACTCACCTTTGGGTTTACCTTATTCACAGCTTTTACAGCTGTATCTATGGCTGCCTGGATATTTTTCCAAGCTTCTTCAGGGTGAGCACAGCTGTCGAACACAGATATGTGTTTAGCTAGTTCTTCCTCAAATACGGATTTAGTTTCCTGATCGAGCTGGGGACGTGATGGTTTTACCGCCAGCTGTTTCCTACGTCCGTTCAGTCGTAAGCACACCGAGCGCGGACCAGTGCATGGTCGGTATCTACACACGTGTTCCAGAAGGAGCGACAATCTCCTACCGACCCACGCCAACGATAGCTTATTGCTATGTGGTCTATTTGTGTCCAGCGTTGGTTTGATGAAGGGGGTCTCCAAGTCAAACAGTGTCTCTCCTTGTGTTTGAAGTTAGTGCTTACAAGAAACAAATGATTATCAGAACAGAACTGTAGGAGACGGTCACCGTTGTCGGTTCGCTGGCACGGAACTCCATAGGTGCCACCGACATCCTTCTCAGATTGACACAATTTCCCTACTTGAGCGTTAAAGTCACCAGCTAGAACGACTATGTCTGAGCGTTTAGCCTTTCGCACCAAACTAGACAGCTTTTGGTAGAACTCATCCTTCGTTTCATCTGAACTGCAGTCAGTGGGGGCGTAGGCGGAGATTACGAAAAGGCATCGGCGAGTAGTGCAGTCCTTTCTCCTTCTTACTGATCCGTTCAGACGGACAGCACACATTCGGCTATCTACCGGGATCCAGTCAAGCAATGTCTTTTCTGCCCTAGTACTCAAAGCTATCCCTACGCCAGCTAATCCTCGTGAACTAGCTGTGGCATCTCCTGACACCCTCAAGGTGAATTTTGCAGATTCAACCTGTTGGCCAGGTGGGGTTAGGTGAATAACCACACTTGGGTCTTGTATGCGTGTTTCTGAAACACAGCATACATCAATGGCTCGTGATGCCAGGGTCTTGGCTAGTGATGCTTGTTGTCCTATTTGGCAAAGTGTCCTAACATTAAGAGCTCCTATATGAAATTGGTGGCGCGGCTTTAAGAGGCTGTCGGTGGTGGTTTTTTGGCTTCCATCGTTTTTAGTGGACGCAGAGTGGAGAGGAAGTGGAGAGCTATCAAGTCGAGGAGTTGCATCAGTGGAAGGAAGGCAAGATGATAGAGATGAAGATGAAGACAAAGATGAGTGAGTAATAGAGAGGTTTCGTGTGCATTTCGGATTGTGAGGGCGATTGTTACTTCCCGGCTGCCCACACCGTGGAAGCGTGCGAGCATATAGTTTTCTATATAGGCTTTTGGTTCTGCCTGATGAGATACAACAAGCGGAGAGTTGTGAATGAAGAGGGTGTTATGAGTTAGATAGGATGGATTTAGCCCATTTTTCACGTGAGTCCACGTGCCTGTTGACCAGAATATTTACAAGCTGGTTAAGTGGCACATTGCTTACCCTACTGACAACCTTTAGCATCCTGTGTAACAAGATATAGTCTTTCTTCAGTAGTTCTGGGAGAACTAAGGGGGAACAATAGAGAATAATAATAAGGTGTGTATGTATTAAGCATGCCTGTCTGCCTGTCCTCTCAACACCACAATCAACAACAACTGTCGAACTTAACACGTGCTGTGTTAGCGGGAGTGTAGTAGTGTACGCCGCTTACAAACCAATGCTGGTGTCTTAATGATGTGTCACTCCACACAGTCGTCGACTGTTGGTTCTAGTCCTGTCGTAAAATCTCAATTTGCGTGAGTTTCATGTGACAACTGTTGATGTATAATCGTTGACTTGAGTCAATGCTAACGGAGCAATGAATTCATATCTGACATTCAGTCGTTTGATAGGAAGCCCTGGATCCGAGTTTGACACTAATTGACACTCATCAATAGGGTATATTTGGAGTCTTTTTAATTCCCTTTTACCTCTAATTGTATAATTTCAATGTTTTATTAGAAAAAATCTATTTTGATTCATTTGCTGCATATATGAATGAGGATTGAGCACGTGGAATGCGCTGCAGTAATTCTACTTTGTTAATATTGAATGTTTATCTACAAAGGAATAGGATTTTCTTCATAGTGTCAACTGCAGAAACTAGCGTGTGTTTCAGTCAAACATCAAAGTCATAACTTGAACTGGTGTTAGAGTTTAGTCAGAGATTTACTTATCTACTGAGGAGATACTGCCCGAATGACAGATGGGATTTTGAATTGGTGGACTGTTACTATCGACCCACAAATGCCTTAACAAGTAACTATAAATACCTGATCATAGGGTCGCGCTATATCGTGAATTGGCAGAAAGTAAAATTTACGCACTGGCCATTGAATCGGTCCCAGTGACTTAGTGGTCTACGAGCACGCCTTGCAACAAGAAGGTCCTGGGTTTGAACCCCCCTATGATGGGTGCTAACTGGTGAGGTGTCCCAAACTAGGACGAAACAACTGTCCAGCACTCCCTTGTTGACTTTCCAATGGTTCTCTAACTAATGTCAGCTCATGATGAAATCCTGTAACCAATCAACCCAATCCCTACAAGCCAACAATTAACAGCTGATCACAGTTGAACAATACCATAATTTCAAGTTAGATGTTGAATTAACACAGAAGTTTTATGAGTGGTGGTCAGTTGTTTTGTTGAATGTATTCGGAGGCTTCCAGCAGTCCTAAATAGAAGGTTGGACCCAGAGTACAACTTATATCATTTATAGGTACAACGTTTTCTTTCTATCTTTTTGTTATGTGCTGTTTTGTTTCTCTCTTTCTTACAAACTCCACTTAAAACATTCTTCTTCGTTCTTTCACAGTCTGTATATCTCGACCTTTTTGTTATCGCTCACACCAGTAAATATGCTACCATCTACTTTTCTAACACCTTCAAACATTCTGTTCACTTTTGGCTTTGCTACCGACATGCGCTAATATGTTGTTGTCAAAACTAACTGAGATTACCCTTAATCTAGGTAGAATTTTATTTTATTGTTAATGTACTAACTGGATCCAATACTGTAGTAAAATACTGAGAATTACATTCTGTATCTTAAGTACTGTTTTGGAATAAAGCAGATTATTATTATTATTATTAACCAAAATAGTTATTAGTTATTAGTGCAATAACTTTATTCCAACTATTTATTGACTTACCTACCCCAACGTTGGTGTTATTTTTTTTTCCAGAGGTAATGCAAATGTTAAGACACTGGAAACACTGGAAAAATTAATTCCCCGATACGAAGTAAGAAACAAGCAACAAAAAGATAATAAAGTAGAATTTATCGATTTTATCAAATTCCTGCAGAACTCTTCCTCAACTGAATACTCGTTTCCTCTCTATCTCTCTCTCTACAAAACGGGATATAAAATAAGGATAAAATGCATTATGGATAAATTACATCAGTTAAATTAAACAATTAGTTATCAGTGAGCGAAAGAACTCAAATATTATCATGAAATGAGAACTAAATACTAGTGGTGATAATAACTAATAATGCTAACACAGAAGTAATAATGTTAAAACGAGATAAGCTGATGGTAATGAATGATAAAAGATAATTTTATATGAATCAGAAATAGTAATAATAATAATAAGAGGTAGAATAAAATACTGCATAAAATAATAGTAATAACATTTACTTGGTGGATGGTGACTAACAGTGGAATCCAGGATTAAAGCGCATTTCATCCTATTTGGGACTCATCGGCTAATGGATGTACCTGCATTTCCCAGAGAGTCACTGATGATGTTCCCACCGGGGCTCGAACCCAGTGCCTATAGTTTCAAACGCCAACCAAAGCGTTATCCACTAGACCACTTGGGCGACGAGAGCCACTTCCTCTTGTGCAACGGGTGGTCGTGTTAATTTTCTAATTGAATTTCTGATTTTCCCGTTGATTGATTGAAGGGGAGTGCTCAGTCTCAGGATGACATGTCAGCTTCTTATGCAGATGCTTCAACGATGTTTAGGCATTTAATTAGTATTTAATTGGGGGATGTCGACTGGCAGTGGAATCCAGGATGCGCGTTTCATCCTATTTGGGACTCGTCATCTAGGTGTACCTGCACTGCAGGATTCCACCGCTAGTCATCATCGGCCAATTAAATATTAATTAAACGCCCAGACATTGTTGAAGCATCTGCACAAGAAGCCGACATGTCATCCAAAGACCGAGCACTTCTGTTCAATCAATCGACGGGAAAATCAAAAGTTCAATTAAAATAAAATAGTAATAACAGTTAATAAGTAAAATATATTACCGCACTGATCAATGCACTACTCTGTCCAAACTCATGTAGTCAATCAGGTGAGAGCCTATGGAGCCTACGGCATCCTTTGCGAATGCCCACTCATATCCCATTTCTCTTTGATTTCACCCTAGATGTAATAATCGACTTAATCTTAACTGACTGCAGTGACTCAGGAATTGACTTGTTACCACCGGAATATGCAGATGATATAGTCCTCCTATCTAGGTAGAGACGCTGACAAAATAGAGCAGAGTCTTCTGAACACCTTAAACTGAGTTGCAATCTTCAAATGTTTAACATGCTAATGATTCGTTCCTGTTGTTAAATGTAGGATGGTGGTCTACAAGAGTGGACTGGAATGGACTGCATCGACTCACTCCTAGCTTGAAGATAAAGAAGTCGTGAAGTGGTTCGTGGAGTGAGTGTGTTAACCACTTCGCTAACGCCAGCGGGTTGATCGCCGACGAAATCTCAGCACGGATACAGAAGGCTATTTTGGCATGCGCCCACCAACTTACGCCATTTCTGTTTTAGTAGACGTGATGTCGACTAAAGAAAGTTGTACTGTATCAGCAGCATTTCGCTTCATCCTCCTTTATGGTTGTGAGTGAAACATGGTCATTGAAAGTGGAAGAAATGAAAAGCCTGTCTGGCTGACTAGCTGTCTTTTATCATAGGTGCGCCTACCTACTATCTCCCGTGTGTGTTAGGTGGTTGGTGGTGGTATAACATTGGTGGTCGAGTGGTCGTGGTAGGTGAGCTGAAGGGGAAATCAATCGACGAGGTGGTTGTGAAGTTATATTGATTGAGAGAGATGGTTAGGACATGTGTTACACATGCATGACTTACTAGGCATCAATCGCCTTCCTGGATGACGGGCAATGTTAGTTAGCTGACTGGCATAGGATGGACGAGGTTGGAAAAGAGCTAGCTATTACATCGTGGTCATACAAAAATGTGACGTGAACAGTCAGTCAAATCTGCAACAACCAGCCAGTCATGTAGGGTGCTACAGACTACTTGACAGGTTTGAGTCCTCAGAAGCAAAAACAGCGCCTACTGACAGCCCTATTTTGAAACAACTAATCGATTTATGACAGCAAAACAACTCCCTAACAACTTCAAAGTACCCGGCAATCCTACCAAATGCTTACACACCCAAACTTCTTCTTCTTCAAACCACAGAAGCTATTGCATCTATATGTTAAATCCTCAATTCTGAATACAGAATAAGTTTATCCGATCAATGACTTACTTAACTCACAATGGAGCTAATTTGTCTTCGAATTCATAGTGTAATTTTTTGGAGGCTTTATTTTTGGGTTTTTCACCTTGACTACACACTTCTATTTCTTATGACACTGATTTTAACTCGACCTCATTTCACAAATGTAATTGAACTCTACTCACTCTCGCCAGTTATGTTAAATTACTGAATTCTCCGTAATGTGCTCTGGTCTCTTGATTGTTATCTAAAACCTGAAATTTCACAGACATATCCCTTTGGAAACATTTGTTCTAATCTTATGAAAAAGATATAATATTTATGCGATTGTTCAGCTCGAGAATAAGTGATGAATTGGCGTGCACTACACAAGATTCTGCGGAGCTGAGAGGCTCATTGGCTTAAGTGTTCGACTTCTAACCCAGTTGGCCAAGAGTTTGGACCCTACCCGAGAATCTAATGAGGTTCGGAATCCCAGAGTAGTATAAACAGTCCTTATGACACGGGTGCGCCTCATGTTTCCAACTACATGGGAATAGCAAATGTTTGCTGAGGGACACACACACAAGACTTTGTAATGCGAGGCAGATACACACAAATGAAAAAAACAGAAGCGCAGTTTTTTAATTATACCTTGGAGATTTGACAATCAGTAAGCACACACACTACGGATCATCATTGAACAAAGCTTGGAATGGTAGTCACCTCTCTATCTCAACTTCATCGACTTTGAAAAGGACTTCGATAGCGCAACGTCGATCGAGAGGTGATTTGGAAGCTACTTCGTCACTATAGGGTGCCACCGATAATTATACATCTCATCCAACAGTTGTAAGACAATGCTGCTTGGCAAGTAATCCATAACGGGAAACTTACGGAAGCCTTCGAAGTGAAGACGGGAGTAAGACAAGACTGGCTGGCTGCTTACTATCGCCAATGATTTTCCTGATTGCAGTAGATTGGATAATGCGACATACAGCGGTGGTCGGCGAGGAGACAGGCATAAAATTGACTCACACAAAAAGAAACTTGGAGGATCTGGACTTCGCCGATGATGACATATGTCTGATTCCCCACAAACTGGGAGATATGCAAGTGAAAAGCAACAAGCCGGCAGAAGAAGCATCAAAAATAAGACTTCAAGTGAACATAGAGAAAACAGAAGTGATGAAGATTCCTGGCCAACACCAGCAGCAACAACAACAACAGACAACAATCAGCATAAGTGGGAAGAACTTGAAAGAAACAACCTCCTTCACCTACCTGGGAAGCATCGTCTCAACTACAGGCGGAACTGACGAGGACGTCAAAGCAAGAATCGGAAAAGCAAGACAAGCTTTCATTACTCTCAAATCTGTGTGGAGGTCAACAGCACTCACCATCAAAAATAACATCCGGATTTTCAACTCCAATGTGAATTCAGTGCTATTATACGGATCAGACACTTGGCGCGTCATAAAGAGCATCTCAAACAAACGGACCTTCATCAACAGCTGTCTTCGCTCAATACTACTCAAGATCAGATAGCCGGCCAGAAAAGATCAGCAACAGGGATCTTTGGGAGCGAACCAACCCAGCAGGAACCGATTATGAAACAAATAAGCAGGAAGTAGTGGAGGTGGATTGGCTAGCCATACTCTGAGCAAACAAACCATCAAGTGACATCACTAGACAAGCCATAGGTCGAGTGGAACCCGAAACGGAAGCAACGAGTTGGTCGTCCAAGAGTGACTAGGAGTAGGTCATGTGAAGAGGAGATGAAAGCATGTGGTCAGACCTGGAGCCAGGTGAAAACTTTAGCAGAGAACCAAACGCAGTGGAGACGCGTGGTTGAAGCCCTATGTTCCTCTAGGAATTAAAGGATATAATAATAATAATAATAATAATAATAATATTATAATTATAATAATAAGCACAAATTAAACAGTGATTACCACAAGTCCATGAAAAGTTATTATATATATATATATATATATATATATTCAGAAATTATCGACTAACCTTTACTCTATCTTACAAGAGTTGCACTTTGTCTACGAGCATTTAAAAGTTCATAATAGTCTTGTAAACCAATTTTATGCGGTGGACGAAACATCACATGCTTTCTGAAAGATTGTATATACTCAATTGCCTTGTCGACATTCATAGAATCTTTAGACATTAAATAACACGTGAGTAGGTATGCTGAACGCGTACGACCAGCTTTACAATGAATATAAACGCATCCATTCGATTGGACACAACTATCGATAAACGAAATGCCCATATCAATCTTTCTTTGTCAACGAAAAGAGAAAAAAGGAGGAAAAGATAATAAAACTAACTATTAAGCATAATAAAATGCTAATAACTGGTACATTTATTCAGATGTAAAATGCATCCCATTTAAATTTTGTGAAAAATTACTTGACCATAATGTGAGCTATGCTGGTTTTTAGTGCTTGTGATGGGAAGTGGTCATACTCAGTCATCCATCAGTCACTTCAAATGACGTTTATTTCTAGGACAGAAATCCGGAATCCTTCATTGTTTGATAAAGTTATTGTTCTGTATTGTGGAGTTTTTTGAGGAAATATCGGCTTACTGACTGACCAGTGCTTGGGCAGCGTGTCTATTATGAGAAACAACCAGTTGATAGGAATTTCGCTGTCCAGATTGCATCTTATGGCTGGACCACCGATGCAATCTGGACAGCGAAATTCCTATCAACTGGTTGTTTCTCATAATAGACACGCTGCCCAAGCACTGGTCAGTCAGTAAGCCGATATTTCCTCAAAAAACTCCACAATACAGAACAATAACTTTATCAAACAATGAAGGATTCCGGATTTCTGTCCTAGAAATAAACGTCATTTGAAGTGACTGATGGATGACTGAGTATGACCACTTCCCATCACAAGCACTAAAAACCAGCATAGCTCACATTATGGTCAAGTAATTTTTCAGCTACACTTGGTTTGTTAACACTTTTACAGTTTGTGCGATTTCTCGTTACTTCTACATCTATCAACAAACTGACGCCAATTTTGCATATACGAGTTCTTTTGACGGATATCTCGATATTACCTTGATTTCTGACCAAACGAGATGATGCCTCAGCTTCTCCAAAAGAAAAAATAATATTGAAGATACAGTGATAGCCACACACACACACAGTGAAACAGGATTACTTACTGGATGACACAGTTTCGAACAAAATTTATTCATTGTTCATAATCATTTTGTTAATTATAATCACACGACTACGAAACTTGAGTTTTATAGTTTTCTTTGTTCTCACCTTTTCGTCGTCGTTGGGGTAGTACTCTTTTCCAGATATCTGGGTGGATAGGTGTTCAATCATTCCTATTACACGTGTTAATTTGCAGTTGATTCCATAAACAAAGCTTCCGTTATCAATCTCTCCCTCCACCCTGTCAGTTGCATTAGATTTTAAAACTGTCATCCTATCTCATCCAGCCTATTGTATGGTTGTGTGTAACTGCAAGTAGTGAGTGCTATAGCTGAACTATTCTCTAGATTTTTTATCTTATTCGGGTCAACCAATCTAGATTTTGCTAGGTTTTTATGCTTGGCTAGTCTGACTGCCCCTGTTCTACTAATTTGACCTATGGATTTGACCTGTCAATCATTGCGGGCAGGGCATTAGATAGACTAAATTGTTTTGTTTTAAAGGCTCCACAGGATCCCCCGTTTAACCGACAAAGCTTGTTTCTAATTGAGATTGTGGGGTGTTTGAATGCCAGCCACTTTTATTATGAGTAAGGTTCCCGAGATTCTTTCCTTTTATGGAATTACTGCTGATGATTTAGATTCCTTATTGTTAGTGTTGTCATTATCTTGCGCATGCTGGACGTGCATGTCGTCATTAATATTATTATTATCACTCCTGTCATTATTTGTTTTATTTTTACATTTAACTACATACTTTCTGAATAATTTACCAGGGTAATTAATATGATTATGAACAGTAATAAATTTTGTTCGAAACCTTGTCATCCAGTAAATAATACTGCTTCACTTACTATGTGATACATCTAATAAACAAACTAATATGGAATTACTTACTATCACAGTGCTCAAGTTTTACACATATAGGGATTTCATGGAGGATTTAATCATGAGCTGACATCAGTTAGAGAACCACTGGAAAACCTGGGAGTACTGGACAGCTGTTTCGTCCTAGTTTGGGACTCTTCAGCAGTACGCACCCACTAGGACGAAACAGCTGTCCAGTACTCCCAGGTTTTCCAGTGGTTCTCTAACTGATGTCAGCTCATGATTAAATCCTCCATGCAATCAAACAAAATCCCTACAAAACCAATACTTGAAAATATAGGGATTTCCTGTTATCCCTACAGAAGCATGTCGAGTATTCGACCTACATATGCATATGCAAGTACTTAAAAAAATTTGTGCACCTAGAACTCTTGAAATCATTACCAGGTGTCAGACACACATCAACATCAGTAATTCCCCTTGCTCTACTACTCAGTTGTTCATTGAGTACAAAAAACTGCACTCCTTCACTGTAGTGATACGACAACAACAGGTACACAAGTACGCACTCTAATAAGAATATGCACACATACTAAAAGTTCAAGTCATGGAAACAATCAATCAGTTCCAATACAAGCCTAAGGTCACCGGGAGAGATGATTAATAAACTCGTGGAAAAATATAAAAGTCCACTTCACTTCGTGAAATTGAAGTATGCACTGAAGATGTTGCCTCGTTGGACAATGGAAGCTTCGCGAATTAACCATCCAGTTCCAAGAACAAAACCACATCAAAATCATCCACCTGAGCTACAAATCTTCTCTATCATGTCATTTGAAGTGAAAAACCAACACACATCTCACTCCAATTCCATCCAGCGGAATATACAGTCGAAGAGAGACACTTACTTGTTCAACTGTAGGAACTCCATAAAAGTCTTGAACAGGTAGAGAAAGATATTTAATGCCTCGATCCTTGGCGTCTTTCTCTCCGATAACAAATGATTTTACCTCGAATGGTTCCAAAAGACTGATAATATGCGTGATCTTTTCATCCGCTTGTAATTTGTCCCAAAATTTTCTCAGCGGTAAACCACCCAAAACTAAGCATGGAGAGATACGGGAATACCATGGACGACCACGATAATGATGCATCACAAGCCCATAGGCTGTACTGACATAAAAAGCAACTTCGTTTATGAACACCTGGAAAGTTTTTATTTAAAAAAACCAGAATATAGCAAAAATATTCAATCAGACATCTAAAAAACACAAAATAATTCCGCAAAGAATATCCCTTTCATAAATTCCTCTTCTGGCTCTACAATTATGTGTGTGTTTATATGCACAAAATATTCAAGATTGGTAGTTAATAACAGTATCAGTGTTTTTAAATAATGTCGATTTGTAAAGTAAGATCACAATGGAATCACTGTGCGTCGCTGGCACAGTGGTTAAGACTCTCGCCGACCATGCACATGGTCCCAGGTTCGATCCCCTGTCGACGCACACCTGATATCTATGGTCGGCCTGGAAACTTTGGGCTACCGATATCCATGCTGAAAATTCCATACTTGTACCAAAAATACAGTGTGGAATCAAGCTGTAATCAAAAATAAACAAAAAAATAAAAATAAACAATACTTAAATTATAATAATAATAATAAAGATATAATAGCGAATAGAATACCAACTAAAATTAGGGAAATTGTACAAAAATTCTGGATAATTCAAACCTGGATGGCCAGCGGGGTAATGATAATGCCTGAACCAACCAACTTCTTCTGGATGCACAAATTAGGCTTGTTCATATGGATCCCCACAGCCAACCTCAGCAATATTTAGTAGTCGAACTCTTAAGGCGAAATTGAGATTCGAAGGTATGCGGTAAATGACCCTGAAAGCATGGTTAACGTCAATCAGTCTTGTGTTCTGTATCCACAAGATGAGATAGAATAGCGCTGCGAACAGATTTTGTTTGTCCTTTGCCTAACCACCATCCAGGTTGATGTTCGGAAATTCGACGAGAAACACGCCTAATTGTACGGCCTATGCAGCTAACTGGCTCACTACACAGGAGCACTTAAATTGGTGGATACCCATGGAAGAGGCGAGATTAGGCAGTTTGTATTTTACTCCCGAACGCAAAAGAGGAGTGGTTTTGAAGATAGTGTAATTCAGCAGCAGGGAATGCTCTCTTTACCACATTTCTAAGGCGCTGTGTTAGTATCTCGCTAGTGCTTTCCCCAAGGAACTGCATCTGTAAGAATAAGGCCTTTTTTGGAACTGTTGGTAACTTCGGCTGCTTTGGTTTCAAATTCATATTGTTATCAATAAACTTTTCAGGATAACCATTCTCACTTAGCAACCGTTTAATACTATTCAGTTCTTCATCAAGACATTCGTCCGAGCAAATCACTCTTGCTCTGTGAACCAGGCACTTTATCCAAATGCGTTTGTGTTTCAAGGGCACCAAACTGAGAAAATGTGTGTACTGGCCCGTTGATGTAGTTTTTCTATAAACACTTCTTCTTATTGTGCCATCCTGTTTTCTGGTCATAAAAACGTCTAAAAATGGAAAACTAGAGTCATTTTCTTTCTCAATAGTAAAATTTATTGCAGGGTGTACCTCATTAAATTTATCCAGGATGCTCTTTGATTTCCTTCTCGTTTTTCATAATCAAAAAAGTATCATCCATGTACTGACAATAAAATTCGAGTTCACTAACAACGTCCTTCAGAGGCCCATTTTCTCATTTCGCAAGGAAAATGTCGGCTGGAATGGGTCCTAGTGGTGCCCCCATTGCCACACCGTCAATTTGTCTATATAGTTCCTGATTAAATAAGAATATACAATAAGTCATGAATAAGAGGCTTAGTTGCCTCTGCAACCCCGAGGATGAGAACGCTTCAAATCCAGTCGTCTAGTGGATTGTTGTCATCAGCACAAATACGACAATAAAAGTTTCTTAACAAAACAGCAGAGAGAGAAGAACTAAAGAAACTCATATATGATGAAAGACTGATAAAGGATCAGGGGTAGCCCAATTCGATAGACGTAACTATATTAACTGACTGGCTTCAACATAGAACTTTGCAAAGATGTGCAACAGTTCTAGTAGCCACACTTCATTTAGCACACAAAGCAAAATGGAATGCGAAATAAAGACAGTAAAAAACAGAGACATCAGACAAAAAGAATAGTAATATCCACGAACAATATGGTTTCATTGGCTATCATATTTCACAAGGTGTGGATGCATCTGCGCCAATGACAACGATTTTGAGCCATATCACCAATTTTCTCCAGCTGCTACAATGGCTCTAACCGTTTCCAGGACCCCAAACAGTCAGGAAATTTACACCTTCCCACCTGACTGACCTATAAACTAACTGTTACGGATATAAGTGATTGATGAAGCCATGTTTTCGTTTGACCACAATGTGCTAGCTCTTTTCCAACCTTATCCCCATCCATACTATGTCAGTCAGTTAACATTGTCTGTCATCGAGGAAGGCGATGGATAGGAATATGTAACACATATCCTCATCACCTCTCACAATCCATGTAACTTCACAACCACCTCGTCGATTGATTTCCCCTCCAACTCACCTACCACTCAACCCATGCCTAACCTCAATATTATTCAGCCTACTATAGCACCTAACACACACGTGGGAGATAGAATGCAGTCTCCTATAATCAAAGACAGCCAGCAACCCAGCCAGGCTGTTCATGTCTACCATTTTCAATGACAATGTCTCACTAGCAGGCATAAAGGAGGACGGAGTGAACTGCTGCTGGGCAGCACACACGTCCTTTGGTCAATAACCGGTCGGATACCACATCTACGCCAGAGACCGTGTACACTGGCATATGCGAAACGACCCTCTTGTATCCGTGTTGTGATTTCGTCAGTGGTCAACCCGCTGGCGTTGGTAGATTTTTATTATATTATTTTTTTTTTTTTTATTTTTCCTTCACGTTCCCCAGTGGAACATAGGGCTTCAAGCTAGTGGCTTGAAGTTTCTGTAGCAATGTTTATTTTACAGGATGAGGTCGCTAGCCTCATGCCCAACCTTTCCTCTTTACCAGCATTATTTCTAGCTCAGCGAAGTAAAGGAGTGCGTCGGCCGGGGATCGAACCTCGGACCATGTGCATGGTAGGCGAGCATCCTAACCGCTATACCACCGACGGCGTTGGTAGATGCAACTTTCCAAATAAGTGAAATGGTCAACACACTCCACCACCTGTCCCCATCTTTGAGTTTGAAGTCAGTCGTTGTAGTCCAGTCCAATCTACTCCTCTAGCACCAACTTACATTTGACAGCAAGAGCTATTCGCTAGTATGCCAAACATTTGAAGATTGCTCACTGCTCAAGGTGTTCAGAAGACTCTGCTTCATTTTGTCAGCGTCATTACCCAGAAAGGAGGACTATATCATCTGCATAATGCAAGTCAACGAGATTATTGCCTCCCTGGTAACAAGTCAATCCATGAGTCGCTGAGGTGAGTTAGGGTTAATGCCATTAGTACATACATCTATGATGAAATTGAATAAAAATGGGGATAGTGCATATCCCTGATAAACACCACTGGTTGTCACCACTTAAGATGACAACTCGCCGTAAAATCTCACCAGGCTCATTGGCTGCACGAGTTCGAGTAGAGTGAGTGCCTTGATCAGTGTAATGTTTTTTCTCGGCTTTCCCTTTACGGTCAAGCATCAACATCAAACTCATTAAAAATGAGAAAACAACATTCATAATACTTGAAAATTTTCTAAAATGTATAGACAAGGAAGGGTGGTTGATGATTGCTTTAAGCGCTCAACTTTCTGATATGTAGTCACGTAATATTGTAGCGACAGAAGATATAAGGGCCCGGGAACACAGCGTTTATTGTGAAAATCAAGAGATATTTATAGATTTTTATGTAAATTATTATTCCATTATTGTCACTAGAGAAGCAACGCCTTCTGATTGGTTGTTGTTTTCTTGCTGAAGGTTATTCTGTCGTCTCTTTGTGGCCGTTTCTTAGAAACTCAAACTGTATATCTGCGAATCGACCGTGCACACGTTAAGTCCACTGTGATCAGTTATGATGTAACAACAGAAGACAGGGGCCGGCAACAGATCGTTTTATTACGGAAATGAACACGTATTTATTTATATTTCCTGTACATTATTATAGCTTATACAAGTAGACAGACGCGGTCCTCTGATTAGTTGTTTCGGGTAACATCGAAAAGTGGAGCCATCTATCTGCGAATCATATTTGCCCATGTTAAGTTTGCTGTGATTAGTTGTTGAATCAGCCTTGTTCATATTTTCTCACGGCCAATATTAGTGACCTAGACATTGACGTAGATTAATGTCTACCAATTGGCTAGCAGCCTGCTCTCACCACAATGGGAGTTCCTCAAGGTTTGGCTTCGTTACTGCTTTTTATCATGACCCCGATTAGGGACGTAAACATTGATGTCAATTGTTGTCTACAATTTTGGCTAGCAGACAGCTCTCACCACAATATCAGCTTTGTTGGCCGATCTGATATGGATTGCTATCCGTCTCTATTGATCGTTAGTCAGTGATGACTGACAATCTATATTGTCCGTCTACCAACTAAATAACAATGGATGACCTTTGTCACATGACAGTGCAGCCAATCACAATCCAGTTGGATTGGAGGTAGGGTGGGTAAAAAATATCACTTTATTTATCTTATTGCTTCATATATGTTTTCAGGTATTTGCTTATACTGTTTACTATTGCACGGTACTCTACTGTACTGTACAATTGATTGACACTCCTCTTCATTCACACACACTCTTGTGTGACAGTTAACTTTCCCAATAATAATAATAATACATCTATCCTTCATCAACGACGTGTGTGGATCTCCTGAATTCACTCTTCGAGTCAGGGAAATTTAACAACTACCAAGAGCAATACCAGTCGTCCCGCCATCATCCGCTGCATCTCGCTAGTCACGTACTTGTTATACTCCGTCACTCCGCAACAAACATACATATTGGCGATGGGAGAACTATCTTTCCTACAAACATCGGAATTATCATTCGACCAACACATCAGATCGATGGAAACGCCTATCACCAACCAAATTGACTGGTTCACCGCATCACCGCCAAGGACTCCGAGTCACATCACCGGGCACCATCAGTTGACGACGGAATCGCGAGTACTATCATTCAGTCCGAGTATGAGCCAGACGCAAATGTCACTTTCCACACATGGTATACGCGCTATGAAGACTAGATTAGAGCTGACCTCGCCTCACAAGACGATGCTTGGAAGGTACGATTGTTACTGAGTAAATTGGGTCCAGCTGAATATGAAAGATATTGCAATCTGACTCTACCTGCAAAACCAACCAACCACGCGCGACAAGTGTTTCGATGATACAATAAAGCTACTGCTGAGTGAGCATCTTGGAAACCACTCCTCACTAGTCAGAATACGACCGATATTGTTGCCCTACAATGACGACGAACGACAT